AACCATCGCTAAGATACCAAACCAGAAACTGACCAACCCACCAAATTGTTTATCTTTCTTCTTCTTGTTTCAGTCAAGTTAACGCTACAATTACTTTATCACTAACGTCAGTTTAAACCTAAATCCACTCTGTGTTTCTGGGCAGTATCATCGCTTAGAAGAATTACAAAATAAAAATTTTTGTTGTGTAAATGATCTTATCATTACTTATCCATGTTAGCTTTCTAACAGAAATGTGATGTTTCTTTAAACATTTTAAATACAGGATGAAACACGAATTACCAGCCAATAATAGATGAACATTAGATGACTGTAACATGTAGAATACCCAATGCTTTGTACACTATACAATCGGTGTTTTTAGGGAGCCAACCCCTATATTATGTATGACGTGAAGGCGTAAAAAAACTAGTACACACACAATATTAAAATTTATTGCACACAGAATACACCAACTTTAGTCAGGGGAAAAAACGTCACAAAACAAGTAATAAAAACAATTTGTAAATGTAAAAGTGACGTAGGGATGGCAGTGGAAAAAAAAATGCAAACAGGAATATAGGGATGATACAGATATGCATGGCCAGGTGGTTAGGGCGCTCGACTCGTAATCTGAGAGTCGCGGATTCGAATCCCCGTCCCAACAAACATGCTCGCCCTTTCAGCCGAGAGGGCGTTATAATGTGACGATCAATCCCACTGTTCGTTGGTATAAGATTAGCCCAAGAGTTGGCGGTGGGTGGTGATGACTTGCTGCATTCCCTCTAATCTTACACTGCTAAATTAGGGACGGCTAGCGCAGATAGCCCTCGTGTAGCTTTGCGCGAAATTCAAAACAAACAAACAGATATACATAGATCATCCTTACATGACTTTCAATATTAAAATTTAATAGATACCAAGGAAGAAGAAAGAGACTGGCGATTACAGTAGCTTCAAGTGTTTTCTAACGATGAAGACTTCACTGTTTTGTTTTAAACTACACTGATCTAAACTGTTTATGCACCAAATTGTCTTTGGGTTCACAATTTTGTGGGTTAAATATCCCATAATAACAAAATTCAAACAATCTTCTCAAATATCGCATAGAAAAAAAATAAAAACTTCATTGAATGGTTTTTCGTAAATTCTATATCTGTACGCTGAGTGTTGTAACACGCAAAAACATAAAGTTACACAAGATGATACAATATGTGAACCCTTACAGGGAGAGAACAACGGTAATTTAAGAGTTCATCAAACATGATTCAGTTGAGCTTATCTAAATAAAAGGAAACTTGGTTTTCCTATAAAATACAAATTATGATTCAAATTCATCAATGCTTGATATATAATATATATGACGGGAATAGTGGAAAACGGGAAAATCATAATTTGTTTAAATCACGTGAATAAACTGACATTGTGAAGACGAAACGTAAAAAAAAATATTACGTGAATAAAATGACATTATGAGGACGAAACGTCAATAAAATTATCACTTGAATAAATTGACATCGTGAGGACAAAACGTCAAAAAAATTATCACGTGGATAAACTGGCATCGTAAAGATGAAACGTAAAAAAAATATTACGTGAATAAACTGACATCGTGAGGACGAAACGTCAAAAAATTATTACGTGAATAAACTGGCATCGTAAAGATGAAACGTAGAAAAAATTATTATGTGAATAAACTGACATCGTGAAGACCAAACGTCAAAAAAATTATCACGTGAATAAACTGCCATCGTGAAGACGAAACGTAAAAAAAAATATCTAATAAGACATAAAATTCACTCCATGAATTACTTCTGACATATTACATGAAATACTGATGATATTTAAATAAAGTTTGAAAATTATGTGCAAGTTCCATTGAAAAAATTGGTTTCATTTTCTACTAGGTGGCGCGACATGTCAAGAAGACGCTGGAATTACAGCTTTTCAGTAGCCTTATATTACAGTGAATAAACATCATGGTCAATAGCAGTGCTGTATAAAATATTAAATATTACGGTACAATGCAACAAAACTAATTAACTAACGTAATAGAACAGGACTTAGTTTGCCTTGTTTAAGACTTACAACGTAGTATTACCGTAAATAAGATAGGTTCTATCTTGTTTTTATAATACAGTAAAATCAGCATAGTCTAATTACATCTGGATTTATATAATGTTCTATCTCAATACAAGTTCCTACAAATAACTATTAAAATGTTATCATTATGTCCCCCCCCCCGTAGCACAGCGGCATGTCTGCGGACTTACGACGCTAGAAACCGGGTTTCGATACCCGTGGTTGGCAGAACACAGATAGCCCATTGTGTAGCTTTGTGCATAATTACAAACAAACAAACAAATCATTATGACACACACTTCTATCACAAGAGAAGCAATTTTGTTTACATCGAGATGGAACACATATCTCTGTTATCACAGTAAAACATGTCCTATAAATTTACATAAAATCATGTTTTCACTTTACGCTGTTGTAGATGAGAAACTGTACAGCGTATGAAGTAAAAAGTTCTGAACAACATTAACCGATAAAAAGAAATTTTGTTACAAGAAGGCATAATTGTAGCCATAGTTTGTAAGAAGTAATCAAGTAAAGACAATCCTGAAGGAAACTGAAATCACTTAGATACTGGTTACAAAAGCTGCCTGCATGATTCCACAAGGTCCTCCGATGGAACGGCAGAAAGTTTCGGACTTGCAACGCTAAAATATAACAGACAGCGACTCCACAGGAGAAGGCAGATCTCAACTCGACAGATTATTAGTCACGTGGTTCGATGGTCAGCGAGCTGGACTGTATATCCGTTACGTGTTCTTTTCTCTAGGGCCGTGGGTGCGTTATAAGAGTGACGATCAAATCCCCACTATTCGGCAAGGTTTTTAACTAGCTGCCTTCCCTCTTTCAAAAGTAGGAACGCCTAACTTGAGTAGATGAGTACGGGATCACATCAAGGCTGTGTTTACCGAGATGCTATTCAGTCACTACCCGTACTGAATTATGACACAAAGTCGCTTGTATTCCTCAGGAAATGTTGAAATTGGCTTTTTTAACATTAGTCCTAAACTGGGTGCGTTAGTTAAAAATGAGAAAAAAGAAAACACATTGACCAAGTAATGTAAAAATAAACCCACCAGTGGCAATGTTTATAGACTCATCTGCTCTCCGATGTGTTGAATAATCACGTTCCCTAATTTTCACTTTTATCCGTTTTCCAGATACGACACTGCTAATTGACCAAAGTATAAAGTTGTACAGTTGCGATCGGTACAGGCAGTCACCGTATGACGAAACATCGAGATAAATGAAAGGTTTAAACCCGGGATCCTAAGGTAGCAATGAGACTAAGAATGCTATAACAGGATCTCTTTTTCTCTAAATGTTTGGACAACAAGTCTTCTTCAGGAGAATGTGTAGTAGAAACATTGAGAGAATATAGATCCTGTTATAGCATTCTTAGACTCATTGCTACCTTAGTCTCCGTATTTCAGTGTGAATAACACTCATTGGTTGTATCCCCCTTTATTGTATACATGTATACCCTCCATTATGACTGCCTTCAAAACTTTGCAAAAAGCGTATTTTTGTTGGTTGAGTTGAACCTTTGGTTTATTATTGTCCGTACATCACGGTAGTTACGTACAAAAACAAATAATAATAATAAGAGTTTAGTAAACTCTGCGAACAAATGCTACGTAGTCGTTGAAACCATTTTACCGGATGTACAACTGAAATCCTTGGAATAATAAGTGACGTTTTAAGTTTACAGGCATTATGTAATCCTGATAACACTTGTGAGATAATATTTCAACAAAAGCTAGCTATTCCAAAACAATAATAATCCGCACTTTGCTTTAGACTATATTTTGTCACAGAGAATAATATTGTGATTTGAATGAAAGGTCACAAAATGATATATATATATATAACTTAGAAGTGATATATCAGAAACTGTAGGATTTCCAAGATTTTTGGATATATCAGATAGTTCAATGTATATTCAACATCCCAGCATCCTGGATACGACATGTAATTAGCTACTGGCTGTTCTAGATGCTGGGTGCGATGTCTCATTAGACCAGCTGTTATAGATTCTGAACGCATCCAGAATCTATAATAGCTGATCTAATGACAATCTGTCATTGATTAGCTATTATAGATTCTGAAGACGATGCGTCATTAAATCAGCTGTTATAGATTCTGGATGCGATCTGTCATTAAATCAGCTATTATAGATTCTGAAGACGATGCGTCATTAAATCAGCTGTTATAGATTCTGGATGCGATGCTTTACCGTTGTCGCTATAAGCAGCGTTAGGTTAGGTTTAGGTTTATTTGAGTAACGGAATGTACTTTTAAAGCAAATCTCTGAGTTGGATATTTATTGTGTCTTCTAATGTGTCACATTTAAAATATCATCTTTAACTTATTTTTTATAGGGCATATTCAAAATCTCGAATTCTTGTAACATTGCATCCAGAATATAGAACTGTTCGAATATTTAATGTAACAGGTAGCCAGAATTTAAACTTGCACGTTTATAATCAGGATATATATATTTCTCTCTTGATTTTCTGATTAATGAATTAGCATTTTATAATCTGGACGGTACCTTACACAAACGTGTGATAAACGATCGTTAGCGATCCCTGAAGCTCAGATATAGCCGTCCCTAATTTAAAAGTATATATACTAACTTGAGGGACGGCAGTAAGCCAGTAGCACCCGCCACCACGGTGGCTTTGTACAGTTCTCTGTAACGAATACGAGATTAGCCGTTATAACGCGCTCACAGCTGAAAGTGCGAAGCGTTTTATCGGCATCACCTCTCGAACCCCGGACCCCCTTACAATTTGAAGATACGTAAATACGTCTATAAACTGTAAAGACTGACTGATCTGTTTTCTGTATTAGGAGAGATGCAAACACTTGTTTACGGAGGATGCAAGAAGTTAACAAAGAAGTTAAGTTTGATTTCAATTCTATAAGCTGCTCCTTACCGCTGATAGGCTCACCTCCAGAAATGCGGGCTTTCGAGACTTAATGTGCGAGTGAACACGTTTTAACATTGTCGATCTGGATAAGATAACGTCTTTATGGTTGGAAATCTCTTGTCACCGCATCAAGAAGCACTGATCCGGAGTTAGCTCCCGTAATTTGGAGGACCTCTTCAGTGTATCTCAACTGGATAGATAGACAGAGTTTGTTAGGAGCTCGTATCTGTACAATATCGGTCCAAACCCAACGCGTCTCAACTAACGACACAGAGTAGTTCTACGTAAAATTTACCTCACAGTGACGTCAGCGTGCGCGAGCCACGTCCCACGAGCCTGAGTGAAAGGGTGGCGAAAACCAATAAGCACGAACTCTTCACAGACAAAAGTGAGATTATACCCACCACCAGCAGGTGGCCACTCCTACTCCTACCAAAAGTTTGTTTGTTCAAAGCTATAAAAGGCCTATCTGCGTTACCGTTCCTAATTTTGAACGGATAGGCGAGACCGAAAGCAGATAGTCAAAAGCACCCGCCGCCAATTCTTGACTCATTAATAGTGGGAATTGACCGCCACTCTTGTAACGCACCCACGGCTCCAAAGTGCGGATCGAGATTTTGTGACAACGTGACGCAAACCACACGCGCTAACCATAACTCAACTTGACACCTATATAGATTGTTAAAAAGGTCACTAGGCCAAGCCAAGACCGCCATGAACTGAAATAGAGCAAATAATCATGAAACGTTTGCCTACCAATGAAGTCGTTCGGGGGTTGGGGGACAGCAACATCTTCACTATCTCAATAACTTCATTACTTACGGTAAGTACTTACTAAATATGATTAATAATTAGAGCTAGGTGATCTTATAGACTACTGACAATAACACAAATCAATAACTTCAGTATTCATACATTTATTTTCATTCTGACTTGAATTATTTAAAACTAAAATCCTAAGTGAAAAAAACTACGTCCACAAAACTAAGACAATTAACACGTTAATAGAATGTGTTATGCAACCTAATCACTTACTTGATTCACAGACAGATAAACAGCCAAAAATCGACCGATAAAACAATCACCCAGACAGATTCAAATATGTTTGTTTGTTGATTATGAATTTTGCGCAAAGCTACACGAAGGCTATCTGCGGGATTGACCGTCACATTATAATGCCCCAACGGATGAAAGGGCGAGCATGTTTGGTGTAACGGGGATTCGAACCCGCGAGTTTCAAATATGAAGAAAATATGCTAATTACAAATTACGATAGGTTTATTTCCCGTTATTTACAGTCTACGTTAACTATTCAATTTTAGTTTTGTTTGTATTATTGACTTTTAACTTTGCTTGCAGCTCAATTCTTTGTTACAACCAAAAATAAAAAAAAACATAAGGATTTTTAAAACTTTTAAAAATGCTAATGCGGCCACAGATTTCCTATGACAGAAAGTCTGACTATTAGATTATCGTAGAGCAAAACTGCACAGTGGACTGGTTTCGCGAGGATTGAACCCTGAATTATAATGTTATAAGCCCTTAAGCTTACAGATGAGCCTCCGGACGATAGAAAGTTTGATGAAGGTTCCGTACATCGAATTGGAAAAAAAAATACATGGGTTACTTTAACTACATTGAAAACGATTTGTCAAATATTTAAGTGATGCAAGTTTCATAAATGCCGCTTCAGTACAGTTTTTATTATAATTGATAACAAACTCTCGGCGATCCACTTGTGTTTCTCGATGAACAGCAAGTGTTGAGTTTACTGTACTATATGTAATATTTCCCCTTTATATATTTCAGCCTTATCGTGACATCTGGTGACAACTATATGAAGTGAAGTGAAGAGGATTCTACAGTCGCAATCAAATGACCAAATACTATAAAGCGCAAGATATTAAAACAACAATAAATATTATCGCTAAAAGTCTACGTAAATGGCCTTAGATTCACTTCGTAAATACGTAACAAAAATGTGTTATCTTTCCTTGTTGTTTCCTTTGACTTCTATGTTTGTCTAAGTGTGTTAACAACACTTTCATCGAGTTAGTCTAAGTGTGGTAACAATACTTTCATCGAGTTAGTCTAAGTGTGGTAACAATACTTTCATCGAGTTAGTCTAAGTATGGTAACAATACTTTCATCGAGTTAGTCTAAGTGTGGTAACAATACTTTCATCGAGTTAGTCTAAGTGTGGT